CTTGTGTGTACATCTGCCGGCGCCGGCATTTTTCAAATTAACAACGGTTGTTTACGGCGATGCAAAGAATTGTGGGTTATCTGTAGCAGCGAAGGATACACCTCATGCATCCTCCAAATTCCTGTGAAAGAAGGTTGCATTCGAAGGTTGCATTCAGACTGTCCTACTTGCTTTTCTGAAATGAGACAGCCTCGATGACGTATGCAGCCTTCGAATGCGACCTCCGGAGGGCGGAGCCTTCTAAATGAGACACAGCTTAATTAGCATTAAGGTCATTCCACTATTGCAGTGTTGCCGCTTGGCAACACATACATTTGAATGATTTACCAAAAACTAATTTCATAAAAACTTTTTTGAGAGGTGAATATGTCATCATAACATCATAACAGTGATGTTTCTGATTTTTTTGTGTAAGTGACACGGACTGGTCTTTGTTTGTTACTGACGTTTTAGTTTGATTTCAGCAACTACCGACGAGATGGCAGTCTGTCAGAAATCTCACCACACAAAAAAACTGCATGTCATGTGACTTAACCAAAGCACATCATTGGCTAAACTAAGGTCTTCTCTTTCCAACAAAAAAAGCGAAAATGTTCTCTTAAAGAGACAGTGGCAAGGAAATGAACACAGAGTGTATGTTGCCATATGGCCACACCATGCGGTAGAGGGTTAAGTTCGAATTTTATTGATATTTTGACTTAATATAAACATTACGTTTTAATTACACACATATATATATATATATATATATATATATATATATATATATCATTAGCGGAGCCTTCTAAATGAGACACAGCTTAATTAGCATTAAGGTCATTCCACTATTGCAGTGTTGCCGCTTGGCAACACATACATTTGAATGATTTACCAAAAACTAATTTCATAAAAACTTTTTTGAGAGGTGAATATGTCATCATAACATCATAACAGTGATGTTTTAGATTTTTTTGTAGAAGTGACACGGACTGGTCCTTGTTTGTTACTGACGTTTTAGTTTGATTTCAGCAACTACCGACGAGATGGCAGTCTGTCAGAAATCTCACCACACAAAAAAACTGCATGTCATGTGACTTAACCAAAGCACATCATTGGCTAAACTAAGGTCTTCTCTTTCCAACAAAAAAAGCGAAAATGTTCTCTTAAAGAGACAGTGGCAAGGAAATGAACACAGAGTGTATGTTGCCATATGGCCACACCATGCGGTAGAGGGTTAAGTTAGTTTGGTTGAGTTCTGTCTGCAGTAAAGCAGCCCATTTACTTTAGTCTAGTTTAGTTTAGTTAAAATGAAATGTACAGTAAAATAATAAAATGACACAACAAGTTTGATTTAGTTTAGTTTAGTTTAATGCCCTCTGTGGTAAAACAACACTATTAGATTCGTTTTCAGCTTAGTTTAGTTTAGTCTAGTTTATTGTAGACATAGCGTAGACAACACAATTAGATTTAGTTTAGTTTAAAGGGGTCATATGATGCGATTTCAAGTTTCCCTTTCTCTTTGGAGTGTTACAAGCTTTTAAGTATATTTTAATTATACTGGTAGTACGTATACTGATATCAGTGTACTAGTAGAATACTTAGTAAGTGTACTTTTTAATACTACTTGGGACTAAATTGGCCCATTTTTAGTATATAAATGTGTACTTATAAGCATATTAGTAAACTTTATAAAAAGGTTTTATGTACTTCAAAAGTTTTTTTTTTTTTTAAGTATCCTAATAGCACACTTAAATAACCTTCTTGTTGGAAAGGGTAGTTTGGTTTAGTTTAATGCCTTCCACGATAAAACAACATGTTTAGTTTATTTTACTCTAGTTTAATGTAGTAAATAATGTCAAGTTTAGTGTAGTAAATAATGGCACAACAAGCTTGAGTTTAGATTAATGCCATTTGCAGTAAAGCAGAACTATCAGTTTAGTTTAGCTACACTCTCTCTGCAATGAAACGGTTTCAAGCAGCTTAGTTTATTTCGGTTTAATGCATTCTGTAGTGAAGCAGCACAATTATTTTAGTTGATTTTCTCTGTCTACAGCACAACAGGACAATCGGATTCCTTTCTCTCGCTCTGTTCTGTTTGTCTCTCTCTCTTTAGTTGAGCATTGTTTAGTCGTCTGACGGAGGGCGTGTTCTGTGGAATTCCCTCTGACAGTATCGATATGAAGCATGACATCACCTCTCTCCCTTTCTCTTTGTCTAGGCGTGTAGTTCCCATTTCGAGAGTCTATGCTTGATGCTGAGACAGAGAGGAGGATATGAAGCCAGTCTGCTCTCTGTAAGTGTTTCTGCCGTTCACACATCCACCAGCATGAGTTTACAACTGCGCTGCTTATACACTCACAGGTACAGATACAGCTCTCTCTCTCTCTCTCTCTGTGTGTGTGTGTTTGTGTGTGAGGATATCTAGTGTTGTCATTAGTTTTAAAGGCTCATAGATGATCGTCTTTAAATCTAATGATGTGTACAGATTTCTGAGGGTTGGTTTAAGGGTTTAGGAGATAAACATCATTAATCTAATAGAAAAACAATGGAAGATGTCTTCACTAATATGGTTTGTAAGATCTCTTTATTTTTATTTGTGTACAAAAGAGAGAGTGTGTTAGTTGTTTGTGGATTGCTTATTTCTTAAACTAAGAGGGAAGTATACTTCAGAGTGTCGCTGCTTGTGTGTCTGATGTGTTTGCATTTGTATATTTAGATCAGTCCAAGAACACCAGGAAATCATTTTTCTTCAGGTGTTTTTTTCCTGCTTGCATTGCATTGCGCTGCAGTTTTTTGTTTTAGATGGACTTTGTTCCTGGTCATTGCATGTTAAAAATGCGCTCAGGTGCTTTCAGGGTCGTGAACACATCAGTCTAAATGATCAAATATTTCCGCCAAACTAATGCCAGATATTCAGATCTCCTGTTTCAGTTCAACATTTAGCCACACTGACGTTGATTTATACCACATTTGATTTAATAATGCTGCATCCGCAAAGTCCACAGACCAGAAACAGTTAACCCATCTCTGCAGCATGAGATATGATATCCTCTTTCAATTACTCACAGTATTAGTTTATACTACAAAGTAGGCTTACTTATGAGGAAGTGAGATGCTGTACCATTTGCTTAGTTATAATAAACCTGACCGCATGCAGCAAGAGTTGCACACATGCACACTTAAAAATAAAGCTTCCAAAATGTTTTTTTTTTTTTTTTGCAAAACCATTTTAGGTTCCAAAAAGAACATTTCTGTGAGCAGTTCTTTTTTTCTTGGTGTGAAGAACATAAAAAAAAAACTATATAAGAAAGATTCCATGAATGTTAAAGGTTCTTCGTGGAACCATCGTTCCAATAAAGAACACTATTTTAAGAGTGGAGATCAGTAATCAACAGCAAGTACAAGTCTGTTGTTTAGTGATTAAGGCCCGATGCTGCAGTTATTTTTGTTTAAGCATTATGAAGTGAGTCATGGGAATTTTTTTTGAGGAATATGCAAATTCACATGATTGTGAGTGTTCATGTTTGTGTCTCTAATCGTTGCTCTTGCTTGTGTGTGTTTTTAGCTTGGCCTTGGTCGTGACCTTGCTGCTGCTAACAGCTACATCTGGTAAGAATGACATTTTGCAGAAGTTCACATTTTCACCTGTCAGTGTTTAATGGTAATTTGTCTGAAAGGCCAAACAACCAGCCACCTTTGAAAACAGCTACTAGTGATTTGAACAGGACTAGCGATCAAAATAATGTGCTATATGTAGAGATTGAAAGAGAAACGTTACAGGAGGATGGATAAGTTTGGATGTAGGGATGAATTACTAGAAGCCGTAGGAGTTGGGGAATGCACCTCCACACCAGAAAGTTAAAAGAACAAGGAAGCAAATCTCGGACAGTAAGGAAAGGACTTATAAAGCACTGAAATAAGTAATAGAGAATCACCCTGATTGAAACAAACACACAAACACACACGTTTAGCTACAGGGTAACATACCAGAGACTTTGATTACATGTGAATAAACTTAAAAAGGACTTGTACCCACAATCTTTACTAAAGATGGCAGTGTCAGGACTGGTTTCTGACATATGTAATAGTAGAACACATTGTCACTGCTATCAAAGTTTTCCCTGTTTAAAAGGGAACCCCCTTTAAAGCAAAAATAAAATGTGAAAAATAATATATATACAAACAAAAAGTATATGTTATGTATAGTATGTATAGTAATATGTATTACACACAATAAGTAGTGTATGTTTTACTTGTATATATACTTGTGTGTGTGTATATATATATATATATATATACATGCACACACATTCACACATAAACTTAATAATAGTAATAGTAACTTAATAATAGTAGTACACACACACACACACACACACACACACACACACATAAAAAGATGCCATTAAACAAATATTAATGATATACTATCTTTATGGTGTTTCTACATTAATTTCAAGATTGAATGTGAAATTATTGCAATATAAAAGTATATTTAAAACTGTAATGTTAGGTGCGATTAATTATGATTAATTTCAGAAAAAATTTGATTAAATAGTTACTTATTTAACCAATTTACAGCACTATATGTAATATAAATCTAACTATTATATATTATGTATTTGTATATATAATAAACTGTGTATATATTATATATTATTGTGTGTAACATAATGCATATATACTATTATTATTAAGTTACTATTACTATTATTAAGTTTATGTATTTATATATGCTATATATTAGGGATGGGGAGATTCCCCGATTCGCTCGGTGCATCGGCATAAAAAGTTAACAATGCGATGCATCGGTTTAAAAAGTGTGCATCGGCTACAAGTTGTCATTTATATCGCGATGCATCGTTTCTAACATATTTTTTCTAACGATAAAAACCGATTCATTTATATATAATTACTAGTGGATGTGCTATACTTTTATTATTTAGAAAGTGACCAATAATCTGCGACCAATATTTTATATGTAGATTGATTTCTCCTCTCTAAACTGTTTCTCAAGCGCTCTCTCATCACATGTAGTCATTTTCTTTTATTATTTATTTTCATTTTTAATTCAGTGATTTTAAATTCTAATTTAGTTATTTTAATGCTTTGAAGAGCAATTTTAGATTGTAATATTCGGATGTTCTGCTATCTGTTCTGCAAACTATAAAAGGTGCAGCTGTAATAAAACCAGAGAGAAAGGCTGCATGGCTAGAAACTGTAAAAAAAAAAAAAGAAGTCAAATAATAGTATGTAATAATAATAGTGATAGTAATAAACTGAGACAGTGGTAATATCATTATGTTCCTATTGGCCAGTAGAGGAGCTTAGATTAGCCTGACAGTTAGCCTGATTTAGACCAGGTTACACTCTTAAGAAAAATGGTTCTAAACAGTACCAGAAAAGGGTTCTTCGGCTTGTAACAATAGCAGAACCCTTTTTAGTGCTAAATAGAACCTTTTTTTATAGGGTTCCATATAGGACATTAATGGTGTTATAAATAACCTTTTTAATGATAGTTTTTCATTAATATTAGTATTATTTGTATATATTATTTATTAATATTGTTTTTTTTACCCCTCTATCTGCCTGGTCTTATAATATGTTGAAGTGTCTATTAGGGTTTTACATTAAATCAACAACAACGTGTCAATTAGGTACTTTTTTTAATGACGTGAAATTGTAGCATGAAATTAAGTAGTATGTGAGCACTTCACAATGTTAAAAGGAAAAAGTTATATAAAGTCATGGGATAGCTGGGTATGTTTATGCATAAACCCTAGTAATAAAAATAAAAACAAAATGGACCATCAATTCAATATCTTTGTTACTTACTTAGTGAAGAAGAGGAGAGTATCCTTACCTGAATAGAGCTGGTCACACTTACATGTTCTCTTAAACTAAAAGGAAAAAAGACAAAGGAAACCAATTAGCATTTGAAAGTTATAATTTATAGACATTTTAAGAAAGAAATTATTTACCTGTTGAGAGTGTGCTGACAGTCTGTGTAGTTGGATGGCTGAAAATCCAGAAAATCAGTAATGAGGAATCTTAGAGTGTAGCCTCGGTTAGGGTTTTACATTAAAACAGCAATAATAACAATAACCACAACAGCAGCATGTTGTGTGAATTAAGTATGTTTTTATTGACATACAAAGAACCCTACGCTCTAACACAAAGAATCATTTGAGCATAAAAGGGTTGTTCAGAATGCTATGGTTCTAAATAAAACCATTACTTCTTGTAAAGAACCTTTAAAGAACCATCTTTTTTTAGAGTGTAGTTTCCCAGCATAAGTTGCCACAGTGACTAAGCTTGATCTAGGCCTATGTTAAATTTGCTTAATGGAACCAAATCATTTGACAATGAGTCAGACTAACTGAAATAAGCCTGGCTTATTTGGTTAACTTGTTTTAGCGTATCGCATCGGTTACGGTAGCTGCTTCATATGTATCTTTAATGTATCGTTTCATTGGCTATGCATCGAGATGCGTATCGTATCGGCCTGAGACATGAGATGCACATCCCTACTACTATATACAGTGGGTACGGAAAGTATTCAGACCCCCTTAAATTTTTCACTCTTTGTTATCAAAGAGTGAAAAATTTAAGGGGGTCTGAATACTTTCCGTACCCACTGTATATTAACATTTGCAGACATTTTTCAGCAACGGTTGAATTACAGGTCTTATAGAGTTTGACTGTTTTGCTTGGAAATGATAAATCTTGTGTCTGTGTAGTTATCAAAACAGCAGCATAATGCTGTTCACACCAGAGTTCAAAAGGAATAACACTAATTTGTTTTTATATACAATTTCCACCGTACATGCTATTTAGACTGAAGTATACCTGCCATATTATAATCAGCTATAATAATCAGTGTCGACTGAAGTGCTTCAGTTTTTTCTGTTGTTGTGTGTTTGTGTAGGTGACAGCGATGCAGTGAAGAACATCACGGCTGTTTTGGGTCACAGCGTTACATTCAGATGTCCTTCGAAACACAGCACTCCTGTAGAACGCTTGTACATACAGAGAGTTAAAAATGATAAAGTAGAAGAGTTCATCAACGGGTTTTCTAGAGGCATTGAGATGAATGTGTTTTCTGAGTACTGGGACAGAACCAAAGTGAATGAAACGGAGCTCAGCATGGAGATGAGAAACATCTCCGTCTCTGATGAAGGACTGTATAAATGTGTTGTTTTCATCAACAACAAACCTGAAATCTCAAATATTCTCCTCAAAGTCACAGGTATGACACAAGATACAGACGACAGGGTTGAGTTAAATGCAGAATTGAAGAATCGGCTCATATTCAGTTTATGAGAGTGAATTTGAATCAAATCAACTAGACAGCAATTGAATTAGAATTTGAATCAGAATGACAGAAAGAGGAATTTACTGAAGTTCAATTCAAAGAAATTCAAAACAAAATAACAGTAATTTCAAAAAGACAATACAAAAATAATTACATTATTAAATTTAACTATGCCTATTTATTACCTGATACGTAGAATATATTTTATCTCAAATAATCAGATTTTCCTTTAAACTAAGTTCAGTGCTGTCAAAACAATTACAGCAGTCAGTACAAAATTATTTTGAATTAATCTTTTGTCTTTTTTTTTTTTTGGCCACACAAATTTATCCAGCTATGTTTCCAGATAATTTTATAAAAAATTATATTAACATAAAAGTTGACTTCATATTGAAGAAATTAGAGCATTTTTGCAAAGTAGCAAATGTATTTCTGTAAATTCCTCAAAATGTTATGCATGAGAATATGTTTATATTTAATTCATACTGAAATATGAAGTGCATTGTTAAAACGACACTTTTTAAATTTTCTTTTATGTCCTGAATTTTGATGTACCCCATTACACTCTTAAAAATAAAGGTGCACTCTAAAAAATGCTGGGTTAAATACAACCCAGTGCTGGGTAAAATTGGGCCAAACCCAGCAATTGGGTTGTTTTGACCCAGCGGTTGGGTTACTGCCCAGAAGG